AGAAGGAAGGAGTAGAGGAGGAAGGGCGGGGTGGGCTCCAGACACGGACCTTGCATATGCGTGGACGTCGCTGTCGGGACCTTCGTCGTTGAGGAGCAAAGAGGGGAGCCGCGTGCGCGTCGAGGCCCGGGAGGGGTTTGCTGGGTGTGTTCCCAGGCACAGCTGGGGAGCCCGAAGGCCCCCCCACTCACCCCCATCCCAGGGCCCAAGAAGGACGTGCAAAGGGGAGGCAACAAGCTCCTGATAGCTGAGAGATTGGGTCTCCCAAGGGGTGTTCGTAGCCTCGGCAGTATCCCCGAAACTCAAGCCTGTCCTCTGCAGCGGAGTGAACTGGGGAAATGATGCTGCCAATCTCCCGGGACAACAGCTGCCGCGATCTGAATTGATCCAAAGGAGGCAAAGCTTGCACCACTGCATGTCTTAGGGTTTTTCTGTTATCAAACGTTTGTTTGTTTATGTATGTATGCATGCATACATACATACATACATACATACATACATGGTACCGTTCTGTCGCCCAGGCTCTCACTGCAGCCTTGAACCCCTGGGCTTGAGTGATCCTCCTGCCTAAGCCTCCCAATCGCAGGGTCTCCAGGCGCCACCACCACGCCTGGCTAATTTTATTTATTTTGGTAGAGAGAATTTGTGTTTCAAACTTTTGGCCTTAAGGCAGGGTCCCCAGCTTCTGGGACACGGAACAGTATGGGTCGGTGGCCTGTGAGGAACCGGGCCGCCCTGCTGGAGGTGAGCAACGGGTGAAACCAGTGAAGCTTCATCTGTATTTATAGCCACTCCTTACCACTGGCATTATCTCCTGAACTCCATCCTCTGTTAGATCAGTGGTGGCATTAGATTCTCCTAGGAACCCTGTTGTGAACGGCGCATGCAGGGGATGTAGGTTGCAATCTCCTTGTGATACTCTAATGCCTGATGATCTGAAGTGGAGCTGAGGCAGTGATGTTAGCACTGGGGAGCAGCTGTAAATACAGATTGACATTAGCTTGAGGTTTGACTGCATATCCTCCTGCACACCACCCCACATCTGTGGAAAAATTGTCTTCCAGGAAACCGGTCCCTAATGCCAAAAAGGTTGTGGACCAGTCTCAAGCAATCATCCTGCCTCCACCTCTCAAAGTGCTGGAATTACAGGCACAAGCCACTGCACCTGGACTATCTAACGTTAATTTAGTACCCACCACTGTGTTAGATTCTGGGGCTACAAAGATGAGAAAGACACAGGTTTGTGAAAAAATGAACAGTCGAGGTTTCTGCAAGTGTGAAAGGACATCACTAATCTACTGTTGCCTAGGTGTAGCACAGAGGAGGATGTGACTGACCTCATCTAGGAGGTTAAGGAGCATGTCCCAGAGGGGATAATGCTAGATTTTGAAAGACAAATGGGAGTTAGCCAGAAAGCTAGGGAAGAAATGGGTTTTTTAGGCAGCCTGGAAACTGTGCTTCAAATGCCTTCACATCACAATTATAAAAAGTCCAAATATCTGTACCATGACCCACAAGTACCTGTATGATCTGCTCTCATCTTTCCTCCCTTTCTCCCTTCCTTCCTAGGATTTATTGAGAGGACAGAAAAGCTCCTACAGTGGGAGGGGACCCACTGGCTTTATTTTCACACTGTTTTGGCTATAGTGGCCTTGCTGTACCTTAGACACACTAAGCTTGTTCCCACTTCAAGGCCTTTGCAGTTTGCTAGATCCTCCACCTGAAATTATCTTTCTCTAAATGACTCTCTTCTTTAAGTCATTCGGATCTCTGATCAAATAGCATTACCTCAGAGAAGCCTTTCCTAAATATAGTTCTAATAACATCCTTCCCTATTGCCATCTCTTCACTTACCCTACTTTTTAAAATCCTCATAGCACTTAACACTACTTGAAATTATGCATTTATTTGGTTGCTTTTTAAATTTGTCAGTCTCTTCTGTAAATGAAATCCAAGACCCAGTGTGATTTGTTCTAGAAATGTGTGGTTTGTTTAACATTATTAAAATCAATTAATGTAATAGCCTGACATGATGGATCATACCTGTAATCCCAGCTACTAGGACACTTGAGCCCAGTTCATGTCCAGCTTGGCAACACAGCAAGACCCTGTCTCTTAAAAAAGAATATTAATGTTATATACTTTATAAAGAGAATAAAAGACAAAAACCATATAATCATCTCAATGGATGCTGAAAAAGCACTTGATAAAATCTAACACCTTTTCGTGATTTAAAAAAAAAAAACTAGAAATAGGATAGAATAGAGATAAATGGCATCTATAAAAAAACCCACAGCTAATATCATACTGAATGGTGAAAGACTGGCAGCTTTCCCCTTAAGACCAGGAACATAAAAACATGTCAGAGTTGCTCAAGACCACACCAAGTTGGATGATTTGCTAGGAGGATTATAGGACTTGGGGAAATACTCATACTCAATTAAAACAAAATTAGCAAAGGGAAAGGTGCATGTGGGAAAGTCAAGGAAACCAGGTGCAAGCTTTGCAAGTCTTCCAGTGAAATCACATGGGACATAGTTTCTCCACCTACATACTATGACAACATCTTAAATACTGTCTGTTGAGACTCTCACCTGGTCCTAGTTCAGACCTTTTATTGAAAATCATTAATGTACATACTCTCTGCCTAGCAGTCAACCTAGCATATACCAAAATTCCAGACTCCTTGAAAAACAGATGTTCAGTATAAGCCATATTAAACAATAGCCATATTAAACAGTTTGGGAGAACCCCCTGAAATCCATGTTTCCAGGTGCCAGCCTTATAATTATAAGCAGCGCTTTCTAGGGATTACTGTCTCAGGCCTGCTATGTTCACTCTTTTCCACACAGCAATAAGTCTGCTTTTACCACTTCTGTTCAACAGTGTGCCAGAGGTTCTAGCTAGGCAATTAGGTAAGAAAATGATTGGAAAGGAAGAAGTGAAACTATCTCTGTCTGAAAATGACATGATAAGGAGTCCACAAAAGAGAAAAAGAAACCTATATACCAGCAATAAACCAAAAATAAAATTAATAATTCCATTTACAGTAGTATAAAAAAGAATACAATATCTAGGAATAAGTTAACAATGACTTACACACTAAAATCTATGAATGTCTATAGAAACAAATTAAAGAAGACCAAAATAAATGAGAAGATATACCATGTTTATAGATTGGAAGAGTTAACATTGTTAAAATCCATGACTCTTCAGATTGATCCAGGATCTACAGTGTCCATTAAAATCTTAACTGTCTCTTTTGTACAAATTGATAAATTGATTTAATCCTAAAATTGATATAAAAAGGCGGCAGACCCAGAATAAGTAAAAAATTCCAGAAATAAAGAAAATGTTCCTCTACTTACACTTTTCTGTTTCAAAATTTATAACATTTGGAATGATGAAAAAGTTCTGGAGGTGAAAATTTCTGGTGATGGTTGTACAACAGTGTGAACGTACTTAATGCTAATGAACTGTATACTTAAAATGGTTAAAATTGCCGGGTTCGGTGGCTCAGCCTGTAATCCCACGCCTTTGGGAGGCTGAGGTGAGTGAATTGCCTGAGCCCGCAGGTTCGAGACCCACCTGGGCAGCGAGACCTCATCTCTACAATAAATCAAAAAATCAGCCGGGCGTGGTAGCACATGCCTGTAATTCCGGCTACTTGGAAGGCGGAAGCGGAAGGATCGCCAGAGCCCAGCAGGTCGAGGCTGCGGTGGCCAGGAGTGGCCACTGCACTCCAGTCTGG